ATATTAATTAGTATAATGATTGATTCTTTTAGTTAGATCATTACTTTAAACTTGTTATACTCTGTTAGCTTGAACTAGGTTTGCAATACAATAGCCTGGGGTTTTCTCCTTGGTTTTTAAAACTGTAATATATATTTTTAATGTTTTGGGGGTATACATTCTGGCTGTGTGCTGACTACTGTCCATGGGTTGGGGCGCAGATGCTCCCATTTCTTTTATCTTGTCTCATGTTAGAGCTCAACAAATGTGGTACCTCAGTTTGATTAGTTGAAGAGTAGATTTCATGCTAATCTTGGCAATCCCAGACTTTTAACTAATCTTTCTAAATGTCTTTATTAAGTGGGAAAAGGGTGTTGTCAAAGGAAAAGCAATTGTGTAATCATCAAATTCCCATCATCTCCAGTGGGGATTAACCTGTGGATTCTTATCACAGCATCTTGACTTTAGTAGAGAAAACATGGATTTTTTCAGGAGCTCTGTTATTTTGTCAGGAGCCGCTAAATGGTAGTTTAATTATGTTCATGGGAATGTATATTCTAAACTGATGCATTTGTTAGACAACTTTATTGCTGTTTCAAGTTGAATAATCATTTATGGTTGAGTATTTGGTTTTTCAGAGGTTTTGCCAATTTAAAAATTTTATACATTTTCTGATCAGTGATTCAACAAACTGTTTATAATGATACTAGAGGTCCGGTGCACGGGATTCATGCACTGGTCAGGGACGTGGCCTGCAGGGATCATCCTGGTCTGCCAAGCAGCTGTGGACTTGCCCTCTGAGCGGCTGCTCCCTGGTTTGGCATCTTCCGTGGAGCTGGAGCACTCACCTCTCCAGGGGACCCAGTCAGGGCCGGGCCCAGGGACAATAGCACTGACGGGCAGCAGAGTAGGCCTCAGTCCTGTGGCGGCCATGAACCCGCCTCCCAGCCTCCGGGGTCAGCTCTGTGAGCCCGGCAGCAGCGGCGCTGTGTGGCCTGCAGGCGCCTGGAGGAGGCAGCAGGGAGCAAGGAGGAGGAGCCTGGGGTGAGGAGGCAACGATCAGCGCTCCCCCTGTGGTAGCTCACTGACCACCAGGGGGCAGCTCCTGCATTGAGCGTCTGCCCCCTGGTGGTCAATGCGCATAATAGTAACTGGTTGACCAGTCGTTCTGGTCATTCCACCATTCAGTTGCTGGGCTTTTATTATATAGGATCAGGCTTGGTATAAATCAATTTGTAAATTTGCCCTTCTAACAAATTTATAGTTTTATCAGATTTCCTTAGGACTTCATAATTATGTAATGAAACATTCAATAAAACATTTTTATAACTTACAGACCTAAAGTATATATATTCCATGTAAACAAATGCAGTAATTTCTAAAAGTATTTAATTTTAAATGTCTATATATATGTGTGTGTGTGTGTGTATATATATATATATATATATATATATATCCCCTATCTAATAAAAGAGAAACATGGTAATTAGCGTACAACTGCTACCCTTCCCATTGGCTAATCAGGGCGATATGCAAATTAACTGCCGGCCAAGATGGCGGCCGGCAGCCAGGCAGCTTGAAACTAACATGAGGCTTGCTTGCTTCAGTGATGGAGGAAACCAACGTTCCCCGCCTGCTGCTGCTGGCCTCTGAGCTGCAACTCTAAGCAACTATGTTACAAATATAGAAGCTAAACAAAACCCCAGAAACCTGCTTTAGTCGCTGGGCTTCAGCCAGCAGGATCGCAACATTGTTTCAAATACAGAAGGTAAACAAAGGCCATAAACCTGCTTTCAGCAGCAGAGGCCTAAGAGCTGGAGCCAAGCCTCAAAGCTAAAGCTGGCCCAGAATAAAAAAAAAAAAAGGAGCGGTTGGGAGCTTCCGTCACCCGCCAGCCTGAAAACAGCCCTCAGCCCCTCACCCAGACTGGCCAGGCACCCCAGTGGGGACCCCCACCCTGAAGGGTGTGTGACCAGCTCCAAACAGCCATCATCACCTCATCCAGGCTGGCCAGGCACCCCAGTGGGGACCCCCACCCTGATCCAGGACACCCTTCAGGGCAAACCAGCTGGCCCCCACCCGTGCACCAGGCCTCTATATAGTAAAAGGGTAATATGCCTTCCAGCACCGGGATCAGCGTGACAGGGGGCAGTACCCAAACCCCCTGATCGCCCTGCGGCTCTGTGTGTGACAGGCTGCGGTGCCCCAACCCCCGCCCCCCCCCCCCTCACGGGCCCTGCTCTTTGTGTGACGGGGTAGAGCCATAACCTCCCCATCAGCCCTGCCCTGAGTGTGACAGGGTGCGGTGCCCCAACCCCCTCATCCGCCCTGCTCTGTGTGTGACAGGGGGCGGTGCCCCAACTCCCCTATCGGCTCTACTCTGTGAGTGACGGGGGGAGCTCCCAAACCCCCTGATCGGCCCTGCTCTGTGCATGACAGGGGGGAGCTCCCAACCCCCTAATGGGCCCTGCTCTGTGCATGACAGGGGGGAGCTCCCCAACCCCCTGATCGACCCTGCTCTGTGCGTGACAGGGTACAGAGCCCCAACCCCCCTGATGGGCCCTGCTCTGTGAGTGACGGGGGTGGCTCCGCAACCTGCCCATGGACCCTGCCTTGAGTGTGACGGGGCGGTGCCCCAACCCCCCAATCAGCCCTACCCTGAGCGTGACTGAGGGTGGCATCACAACCTCCCAATCCGCCCTGCTCTGTGCATGACGGGCGGCGCCCCAACTCCCCAATCAGCCCTGCTCTGAGCCCGACCAGGGGCTGCACCTAGGGATTGGGCCTGCCCTCTGCCACCCGGGAGCAGGCCTAAGCCAGCAGGTCGTTATCTCCCAAGGGGTCCCAGACTGTGAGAGGACACAGGCCAGGCTGAGGGACCCCCCTTTCCCCCTGAGTGCACAAATTTTTGTGCACTGGGCCTCTAGTCTACACTAATAAAAGAGAAAAATGGTAATTGGCGTATGACTCTACCCTTTTCATTGGCTAATCAGGGCTATATGCAAATTAACTGCCAACTAAGATTGGCAGTTAACTGCCAACAAGATGGCGGTTAATTTGCATATGTAGGCACAATGCAGGGAAGCGAAAGGGAAAGCAGGAAGTAGGGACGGAGCCAGCGATGGGAGCTGGGCACGGTCGAAGCTGGCAGTCCCGGGAGCTAGGGGTCCCTTGCCTGGGCCTAAAGCGAAGCCCACGATCGCGGGGCCGCTGCAGCTGCGGGTCCCCGCTGCCCAGGCCGGACGCCTAGGCCAGAGGCGATAGGCCTGGGCAGGGGCGGAGCCGCGGGGAGCTGGGGGTCCCCTGCCCAGGCCTGACACCTCTGCCAGATGCCTCAGGCCTGGTCAAGGGGCCAATCCGGTGATTGGTGATCGGAGGGTGATGAGGGTCAACTCCTCTGGCTGAGGCATCAGGCCTGGGTGGGGGGCGGAGCTGGGGATTGGGGGGATATGATGGTCCCCTTGCCCAGGCCTGAAGCCTGGGTCAGAGGCGTCAGGCTTGGGCGGGGGGTGGAGCAAGCGATCAGAGGGAGATGGGGGTCCCCTGCCCAGGCATGATTCCTGGCCCAGAGGCCTCAGGCCTGGGCGAGGGCCAGAGCCAGTGATCGGGGGGAGATGGGGGTCCCCTCTCCAAGCCTGACACCTCTGGCGGAGGCGTCAGGCCTGGGCAAGGGGCCGATCAGGCGATCGGAGTGTGATGGGGGTCTACGCCTCTGGCCAAGGCATCAGGCCTGGGCAAGGGGCAGAGCCAGCAATCGGAGGGGTCTGGGGGTCCCCTGCCCAGGCCTGATGCCTGGGCCAGAGGCATCAGGCCTGGGCTGGGGGCAGAACCAGTGATGGGGGGAAATGAGGGTCCTCATCGGCAAGGGGCCGATCCTGCGATTGGAGGGTGATGGGGGTCAACGCCTGAGGGCTCCCAGTATGTGAGAGGGGGCAGGCTGGGCTGAGGGACACTCCCCCCCCCCCACACACACACACCCAGTGCACGAATTTCGTGCACCAGGCCCCTGGTATATATATAAAACCCTAAGCGACTGGTCGACCGTTTGACCAGTAGCTATGATGTGCACTGACCACCAGGGGGCAGATGCTCCACGCAGGAGCTGTCACCTGGTGGTCAGTGTGCTCCCACAGCAGGAGCACTGCTCAGCTGACCAACAGGCACCAGATGACGGGCTCACGGTTGGTGAGCGCAGCTGTGACGGTGCTACTGAGCGGCTGCGACGGCAGGCTCAGACTCTTCCCTGGCCGCCTGCCACTTTGCACACTACTACATCTCTCGGGGGATGTCAGACTGTCGGTTTCCAAAATGGGCGGTCTGACATCCCCTGAGGGGCCCCATATTGCGAGAGGGCGCAGGCCAGGTGAGGGACCCCACCAGTGCACGACTCTGTGCACTGGGCCTCTAGTCCAATATAATGATGAACTAATGAACCCTAAGAAACTGGAAAAAGTGGGGAAAATGAAGGAAATGGCTACATTGTGTTTATTACATCCTTAGAGGCATAATTTGTAAAATAACTCCCTAAATAACTACTTATAAGTTCGTTTCTTTATTTCAATAATTAGAAATATTAACAAAAATGATACTACTACTTGAAATACCGATTTTGACAAGCCCTTATTTCCCATTAAAATGGCTTCCTGAAAGTGTCACAAGAAGTTAATGAATCGCTTGTTAATTAAATTTGAACTTTTCTTCTCTGATATTCAAATGAAAAAAAACTGAAATATAATAAATTCAAAATGCTTCATACTAAATTGAACACTGATAGTGATATAAATGTTATAAATGGTGATGTTACACATGAATGTGGTAAGAATCTATAGGATTCACAATGGAATTTGCTAATTTTGAATATGGGCTTATCTTTTAAGTTTATTTTGTTCCTGAAAATTCAAGTGCTGAAATAATGTTTTATGAGCATTTTTTAATTAGCCAAGTGTAACTTTCCATGGAAAATTTAAACATTCCCATCCAACTAACAACTCAATCTATCTTTTCTTCTCTTATTTTGTTAGCCTCTTAGCAAATATCCTGCTGTGATAAATGACATTTCATTCTGGTTGCCCTCGGAGAATTACACAGAAAATGATTTCTATGACTTAGTACGAACAATTGGAGGAGATTTGGTGGAAAAAGTTGATCTTATAGACAAGTTTGAACATCCAAAGTAAGTAAAAACTTTCTGATTTTATCCTTTGTTCTCTCTATGTGACAAGTGGTATGTGGAAACATATAATAACATTTTGCTGAAATCCAGTGCATGCTAGACAAAATATATTCTGAATTTATAGTGAACACATGGCTTCTCAGAAAAGCCTTTCATATCAGTCCTTCCTGAAAACCTTTCTGAAATGCGTTTTTTAATCTTTCCTGCCCTGGTTAAAAAAAGTATATGAAACCGGATGTTTTAAAGATCTTGGAGTTTTTCAGTATTGCTTTTGGAAGTGATTCTGTAGCATATCACATCCCAGGAACAGAGGATAAGGCCCAAAAAAGAGTTTGTGGAGAAAAAGTGTTTTTTTAATCTCTAGGTGAATATTTATTAACCATATACCTCAAGCCAAAATCTGTATCAGGTCGTAAGATAAAATGTAGTAACTTTATCAGGACTTATTTCGGTGTTGACCCGTCCTCCCTGATATGTATATATTTGTCCCTCACTAATCGAGTTTAACTCTGCTTTGGTCTTAGAACTGTTTTTCCTGAATTCTCTCTCAGGGTTTGTATTGGTCCATTGGTCTGTTCTTGAGGGACTCCAGGGATGCCTGAGGAGGCTGTCCTAAGTCTGATTTCTCTACCTTTCATTTTCTCTCTAATGTGTTAGAACTCTGTGTTTTCAGTGTTTTCCACTTCATTTTGAATGCTTTCCTCCTTGTGTCTTCTCTCTGTGTTTCCTTGCACACATTGTATTTCCATCTGCAGTTACTCTGCTTTCCCCCTTTTCTGAGTTCTGCAAGCTCATATTTCAGTTTATGTTTTCTTACTATCTTTTCTGAGTTATTTCTGCTTTGTGATTTTCCTTCATAGAGAAATTGCTTCATTTGGTTTTTAAAATTCATTGTAATATATTTGGCTAGAAACTTCATTTGATTTGTTGGCAGCATTTTTCTATGATTCCCCTGTCATTCTCCTTATTCTTTTAACTATTTTAATTGCTATGTCAGTTGTATGCCTATGATTGCCTTTTTGTCACACATATTTGACTATATTGGATTTTCTGAACCAGCTACTGACATAAGCCTGGGGGTTGAGGTTCAAGAGTTGACTCGGCAGGGAAGGGCTAGTAGTCATTCAGGCTACATGTCTTCACAACCATAGGCTTTCTTTGTCTCCACCTCCATGAAACCAACTCTTTCTTTAAATATGGCGCATCCATCTCTGAGTCTTTTAGTAGGTCTGCCTCCCACCCCAAGTCTACCCTAGTTACAAACAGAAGATCCACCTTTGCTAACTCCAGTTTCAATACTTATTGGTGATATAGACTTTGCACTTCAGATTATAACACTTAGCGCTGAGAAATGTATTTTTGCTGGTGTTTGGGAATATGTGTTCAAAGACATGGCACTGTGTGCTTCTGCTCTTTGCTTCCTCCCATTTAGCTTCTACTTGATTTTGGCTATTTTTGGCAGCCTTTAAATATATTTTGGAGCTTGCAGATGATATCTGTCTCCTAACTGTACAGACAATAGAATGGATGTACAGGGTAGCCTGGGCCCCTGACATGACAGATACCGTTCAGCCCTGTACTTTTATGTGAGAAAGAAGTTTCTATGGGTTAACATGTTGATATCGAAAGTCTGGATATTACTTTTGAAGAGGAGCAAATATATGGGAATAAGACTTACTGCAAAGTATCAACTGATATGCCAAAAGCACATGACTCACCATTGTTTTTCATTCTTATTTAATACACAGATAACTTCTGGAATCAAGGATTCAGAATTCATTCTCTTTTTTTTCTTTCTTTTTTTTAAATATATTTTATTGATTTTTTACAGAGAGGAAGGGAGAGAGATAGAGAGCTAGAAACATCGATGAGAGAGGAACATCGATCAGCTGCCTCCTGCACACCCCCTACTGGGGACCTGCCCGAAACCAAGGTACATGCCCTTGACCGGAATCGAACCTGGGACCCTTCAGTCCGCAGGCCGACGCTCCATCCACTGAGCCAAACTGGTTACGGCCAAAATTCATTCTTAATTTCTTACTTCTCAGGCTCTTACTTCCTGATACTGACTTAGATCCACCTCTATCTCTTATATCACCAGTGTGAAAAGTGAGATAAGTAGCTTTTCTTGGTTGGAGATGAGCAGAACCTAAAGGTCACTGTGAAATGTTATTGCCGGGATGTAGTGATGAGGGTAAATGGAATGGGCATGTTAATTGGAGAGAATGCCAGGGCCATGGGGAAATATCAGGGTCCTGTGGACTCAGGAACAGACCAGGCAGACAGTCCATTGAAGACAAAGTCACAGACTGTGTTGAACTGTATAACTCAGGTCTGCACACAACCCATGCTCACTGGTTGTGCTAAAGGAGAATTTGTCCCTTCCTTCTGGAGGAGACAATACTTTTGATTGGAAATTTGAAAACAACCAGCCAGAAAATGCTTCTGTCACTGATCTTCAATAAATGTTAAGCAACATTTAAGTCCTATCATTTTGGAGCTATGCCAAATGATCACCCTGCCCCGAGAGCCTACCTATCTTTTCCTTTGTTTGTTGTTTTTGTTGTTGTTGTTAATCCTCACATGAGGATATTTTTCTATTGATTTTTAGGGAGAGTGGAAGAGAGAGAGAAAGACAGAAAAATCAAGAAAAAAATCTTGATCTTTTTTTAACCAAAGCAGTTTATCAGCCAACGAAAAGTCTATACTAGGTGTATCAGTTGAGCCAGTAGTTCATATGACATGTTTAGTGGTATTTCCAGAGGCCTCCTTAAAAGTTGAGCTGAAGCTGTCCTTTTTCCTCTTGCTACCTGGATGTGAATATAGTGGCTGGTACTTTGGCGACCATTCTGGATCACAGTGTGTCCTTGGTAGTGGAAGTTGTGGGGAGTACAGCCTGGGTCTCATGACACTGGAGTGTCAGTTCAGCCTTGGACTTTATATGAGAGAGAGTATCTTGTTTAAGCTACTATTTTTCAAATCTTCATCCCTGACAATCAAAGTAAGGACAAACAAACCTTGCTCTTATAGCACTGAGGAAAAGCACATTATTTAGTCATGGTGGCTCCTTGTGCAATGATTCTCAAGAAGTACCTAGGGCAGGAGGTGACAAACTTTTGCTATTAAAGGACAGATAGTAAATATTTTTTACTTCATGGGCCATATGATCTCTGTCACATCTACTCAACTCTGCCCTTTTGAAAGCAGCCATAGAGAAAACGAAATCAAATTGTCATGGCTGTGTTCTAATAAAGCCTTAATTACAAAAACAGGTGGTCAGCAAGTTTTGGCTCATAGTTTGCTGACCCCTGATAAAGGGAAGGGAGACAAATGTAATTTTTCTGAAGCTTGCCCCCGTATGCCCCCCACAGATTCTGAAATCCTCCCGAAGGAGGTCATTCTTCCCTGAGCACCTGGCACCCTCCTGATCTCCTCCCACTTGGGCAGTGGCAAGTGAAGGTCACCTGACCTTGTACTCATCAATGCATAGCTTGATCTCAAGATTTATTTCATTTTTATTATCTGAACACATCAATGAAATGTTACCAGATAGTCCAAGAGCTCTGACTCTTTCTTGACCTAGCATCCCAACTGAGAATTGCTAGTGCTGAGGGAAAGGCACTCTGAGATAAACAAGTGTTATTGTTTGGCCAAGAACAGATCCCAGGGTGTTTCAGAGAGACATCAGCTGCCGAATCTGAACCTAATTTTATAATGTTAAACAAATGGGCGATTTTTTCTTGATTACAAATAACAGTCGGTGTCCAAAAGGCGGATAGCTGTTCACGTTAGAAGCAGCTGACATTTTGTTCCAGTTTGTCATTCAGAACCTTCTCCCAGAGTACATTTGCCGCTTAATCTATAGGCCACTTAGTGTGCACAAGAGTTTTTGTAGTTCCAAATTTCATGTCACAAAAAGTAGAGCAGGGATTAGTTAGCTCAAGAAAGGAGAGCTGGGGTCACTGCGTGTGCTTTCATACCTTTGGAATATTGCACTATATGCACATGCTACTTACTGAGAAAGCGGAACTGCTCAAAGTATTTCTTATGCTGGGGTAGGAGAAGGAGCAAAGAAGAGCAAAAGGAAAATTAACCATTGTCTTCAACTGCCGATACCTCATCTGGGGAAGCGAGCCAATACTGCTCTTTTGAATGGTAGAAATGGACCATAAAGTAAAATGGATTTGAATAGGACAGATTTGCTTTGAGCTTAAGGCAGAGTTTTCTGGAAGTTAGAATTACAGAATTTTAAAAGAAGTATTTGATTTAATCCCAAGAAAGGGGTGGTAGTGAAAAGTGTCCCAGGTGTCGGCAGCAGGGGCTGGCTGGGGATGTCCCCAAAGCATACACTTACACTTTGTTCCTAGGGCTGCTGCTTACTTTGCCACATGCTGTTCCTACAGTGTGGACACGTTTCTTGAACCCATGCACTGTTAATCAGGGTCTGATTAGGGCCGAGATGCTAGAGGTGAGTGTGCTGAACTGTGGACTCCCTACTTGATCTTCCTCACAGTTGTATTTTATACAACTTGCCAGAAGTACAGGTAGACCTGTTTTTATTGTGCTTCACCTTATTGTGCTTTGCTGATACTGCATTTTTAACAACACAGAAGTAAGATCCTCCACCAGCAAAATGATTATGACTCTCTGAAGGCTCAGATGATGGTTATAGTCTTGTAGCAATGGAGTAGCTTTAATTAGGGTATATTCATTGAGTTTTTAGAAATAATGCTATTGCACATTTAATAGACTACAGCATAGTATAAATATAACTATTATAGGCATTGGGAAACCAAAAATTGTGTGACTCGCTTTTTTGCAATACCCACTTTATTGCAGTGGTCTGGAAGCCACAGCATCTCCACGATGTGCCTGTAGGTATACTGGAACATGTGTCTTCATTTTTAACAGAACTTTGAAGCGGGACTTCCCCATGAGAAGCACCTTCTCAGTGTAGCTGGCCCCTCTTTTGAGTGGGTGTGAGTCTTGGATGTTGTCTG